TAAGCCATCCAATTGCTTTAGGAGTAGGAATATTCAAAGTAGGTCTGTAATTTCCTAAAGGTTTCCAAGACTTGAAAAAGTTTAAATGTATCTTGTGGCAAGAACTTTAAACAGAAATCCTAAAATCTTGATCCAAACAAACATCCAAACGAAATAGCTGACGATTGACGATAATGATTTAAAATCAATTTTCCCTGAAAGTACTATTCGCCCCACTTTCCTTCAGCATTAACAAGTTCAATAATGCTTTAACTAACACAGCCGTACATACATCACTCATATAAAATGATTGTAGTGGAAAAGTTTCAAATTCCAACAAATTGTGGCAAATGCGTGTTCACGACTCGCTATGTCGATCTCCGTGGGAATTGAGTGTTAGCTACGATCCTAACCACCCATAGTTAAATGCTTTGTCCCTATAAAAAAAAGCGAAAAGGCAAATTGCGAAAAATGTTCATTGTGGTAACATCTCACGCTCCAGAATTTCGGAATATTAAAAACGCAAACTATAAAATTTGCTTGCGAAGCTGCATAGATAGTGAATCTTTAAACAAAGTAATTCCAGGTTTATTTGCTACAAGCCCTTCCATCATGCATACCAGATTGCGTTGGAACGGCCTTAGCTTTTACAGAAAGTGGAAGACCTTTGCGAGATATAGGGGTTAGTAATCTGCATCTCACTCATTACTGATCTTATCAAATAGGATTTTATAGGACAAGCTCATCATAGAAGACGATTTCTTTGCTCGCGAACGAATTTACGAGGTAGAAAAAAGGTGCGTGATTCTCTCATGAAAATCTATTGTTGTAGGGTGATTGTTTTAGGTGCCGAAAATGTGAAATCATTGACTACTTCGCGGTGTTAGCGGATAAGGAAGGTCATTATTTGGGCTATAATCCAGAGAACAATTTGATGTATCTTGACCGTGAACATCATTTCAATAGATTTGCGAAGCAAAGATTGCAGATTTTGTATAATAGACTTGCACAGGAGTTTGAAAGCAGCAAACTCTTCGATCATCACGAATTTTGAGAGTGAGCACTTGCTGCAATTTTTTGAAACGTCATTAGTTCGTTGTTTGTCTTACTTGAGAATTGAAAGAACATAATGGAGGAGCACTTTTTCTTTGTGTGGGTGTATGTGTTTTTTTTTTGTCATAAAAATTGTTGCTTCTTTTTCACGAGAGGTGAACGCGGTCATCAGCTACGTATTAACAGCTTGTCTTTATGATTAAAGCGAACATCAGCAATATTGGTATGATATCATAGTAATATGTAATATTTCGGTGTAAGTGACATTTGGTAAGAATGACAGTTGGATGATTTGGCATTTATTACCTGAGTTTAATCTTTAG